GTATTATCAAGTTACTGTATAAAATCCCATAAAGGATTACTGTTCCAATTGGCTTAAAGATAGATGAGGGCTTATTTAAGCTAAATATTCCAAGAACTCCTAGACATATAGAAACTAACTCAAATGCTTTTCAAGTTCAATGAGTTGACAATATCTTTGGTAATTAAGACTATTTTAATATTGTTAGTTTAATAAAAGGTTTTTGTGTTATCAGCATAACATGAATATTTCTTTTACTTGAGTTTACATGTTGAATAAGATGATATTATGTCTATTAGACGTTTATGATTATAAAAAATATAAAATCAAACTTACAAGATGCAGTAAAAAAGAACTGTTTGATGTCAGTAATTTACATAAAAAAATGAGTATATCAAGGACAGCAATAAAACCAAAACAAAGTGTTTACCTTTTCAGCTTTTGCTTTTGGAATCCTAGGCTAACATGCTTGTAATTTAAAAAGAGTTAACAGGGAAATAACTTGAGATAATGGATAGCTTTGTTTGATGTTTGATGTTTGCTGAAAAACAGCTTCCAAAATCTTTTTGATAATTTGCATTTTAAAAGTTATGCTAAGCTAAATTAAGCAACAGATATTCATTAAATATCTAGACAATTTAAAGCAAGAGAAGTTATTGAAACAGCCATTTAAAAGTTTAAATTTATATAGTTTTGACCTCTTCTTTTTACAGAGAGATTAAAAGTGTTTGGGTCTGTTCATAAAAATGTTATTTTTGACACATGAAAAAATTATAGTATAAGGGAGAATAACTCAATCAGAAATAGTGAAATAGCATATTCATAAAATTTGCTAGTGTGCTAAAGAATGCTAATGAAAAAAACACAATTCACAATCAACTACTCCCTGGTTTGCTGTTAAAATAAAAGTTACTAATGGCTAAAAATTATGTTCAAATCAAGCAATGAAAACTACTAGAAGTAATAAAGATAAAAATCCTTTTTTGTAGAGTGTGCAAGAAAAGTTGGACATATACAATAAAGAAAAGTATACAAGGAATATAGAATGTATTTTTGTTAAGGGAAAAAGAGAATAAATTATTTCTAAAATAAAATGGGTGTTTCAGAATGAGAAAAAGGAAAACTGTAGGACAAAGAAAATGGCTAAAGAAGTTACAAGAAGTTTGCAGAAAAAGAATTTTATTTGTGGTCAACTAGGTAAAATTGACTGAATTTTCCCATAATGTTGTTATTTCTTATTTTCTTTCTTCTTTTAAGGATCACAATACTGTATTAATGCAAGACTAGAATTTGTTTTAGGGGTTGTCTTTCTCTATGCAAAAATGAAAAGATTTTCTTGAATTATCATCCTGCTGTTTTAAATTTTTTTTCCTGGTACCTGGAATTGTACCAGGGGTGCTTTACCACTGACCTACATCCTCAGCATCCCCTGCTCTCTTTCTTTTCATTTTGTATTTTGAGTCAGTATCTCACCAAGTTGTTTAGGGCCTTGCTTAAATTGCTGAGGCTGGCCCTGAACTTGTGATCCTCCTGCCTCAATTGCTGAGCTTACAGGTTTATGCTATAGGCAAGGCAATCTTTCTCTTAAGAAAAATTTGTAAAAGTTTTTCTTTACCTTTTAAGTAATTTTCGTAAGACAATAGTATTTGGGGTCCTCTCAGAATAACTTCCTTTACATTAATGTTTTTCATATCCTTGATTACTTAAGAGAACTGAAATTTATTCACTTCTAAAAGCACAAAAATATTTTACATTTTTGAAAACATTCCCTTCTCAAATCAAGTCTTAAATAAAATCTTATTCTCAAACTGATCTTGATCCTTCCCAGAAGGTCAGGGAAAAATCAAAGGATTGTTATTTCATAGTCTGAAAGAGACATTAAAAAAAATTTTTTTTTTTGGTTTGCATTGCATAAGAAAAAACTGCCAAATAAAAAGAGACACTTTAAAATTTCCTGGGTAACATTTGTATAAATATTATTACAAAAGAAATTTAGAAATTGTATGAAATTCCAAGTAATGTGTCAATATCCTGGATGTCTACTACATATCCTGTTGTAATGTCACCAGTCATAATTTCAATTATTACTTAGTGTTGTATGCAAACACGTGAACAAATTTGATAAGCAAATTCCCTTATTGATTATATTATAGAGATAATTTTAAGACTTGGTCATTCAGATCTAGTTATTGTTTGACTCTATTCCTTCTCAAAAAACATTTTCAATTTGTTACAGCTCAGAATGCTTCATGATGGCATTGTGATTAACTTTAGGACCATACCCCTGAACTGAGTAAGGATTTCCAGAACCAAATGGAGAAACCTATTGGTTTGTAAAATTAGTAAATAAGTGGAAAAAGATTTACTTGGGACTATGGTTTAGTTTGAAACTATACTGGTTCTTTAATGTTGTATTTTCTGAATTTAAGGAACTCCTTTCCTTGTTCTCTTTCCATTTGTACTTATAACAATTAGTAGATTATACTTTTGTAAGTATAAATGAAATATCCTTTCTCACTGACTGATCCTTCTACAAGGGAAAATAGTAAGCATTCTTACTTTCATGACAATATGGTTATTTGTATAAGTTCAATAGAAATCTTTTCTCCTTATAACAGTATAAAATTGGAAATAATGATTATATTTTTGAGGCTTTGATTATGATGTCATATTTGAGAATGATTTGCATAGGACTTGATATAAAGAATGAAAGTTGACTTCATGGGGCCAAATTTTACAAGGTTCTCTTGGAAAGACTGCCCAATAAGAGGCATAGAGTTTCCCCAGCCTTATAGGTGAGTAAGGAAATTCTCTGCTGTGCAAGTTGGGAACCCTGCGATATTTTGGGAAACCTAAGAAGAGAGTTACTGCAAATTAAATCTGATGGTAAGTTTTTGATTTGCCCTCCTAGCTTCAAAAGATATGTGTTTATTTTAATTAGAGAATTATAGTTATACATACTAGTTGTGTTCATCCCTATAAAATCCTATGTGTCTGGAATTTGATTTCAGTTCCTGTGCTCTCCTCCAACCCTCCCCATTCTCTTTCCTTTGCTGATGTTTCTTTTGCCCACATATTAATTTTGATTGGGCCTTTCTGCTCATACATAAAGGTGAAATTCTCTGTGACATATTTATTTTTGCACATAGAATAATTTTTTTTAAAATTACATATTTCCTCCTCTTTCTCATCCATCCTTCCTTCCTCTCAACCTTCTTCTAGTCTAGAAACCATTCACTTGGCTTCCCTATTAAGTAAAAAAACTGTGTTTTCTATATTAATTTTTAAATTTTCATCAAAATTCCCCTTATGAAATTTATAACTACACACACTCAACAGCAAACATCTCTACTAACAAAGTCTCAAAAGATGGTTCAGTTGGTCTTTAATGAAGAGAAGGCAACCCAACAAGAATAGACTTAGGTTGTTCAAAGGAAAGAAAAATATTTCCTCTTTTCATAATCACGACAAGGGATTGACAAATATTGTTGTCTGTGATAATGAACATTAAGTGTCAACTTTAATATATTGCTAGATTCTTAGACAATTGATAAGGAATTATTTTGATGCATCTGTGAGGGTATTTGTATCAACTTATGTGTTGACAGACTCAGCAAGGAAGCTTCACTCTCAGTGCGAGTCAGTACCACCCAATCAGCTCAAGGCCCAGAGTGAACAAACCGGCAGAGGAAAAGTGCATTCATCCTCTCTTCCTTTTGTAGGTAAGACACCCTTCTTCTCCTACCCCTTGGCATCAGAATTCTAGGCTCTTTGGCTTTTGGACTTTTAGAT